CGTGTGCCTGTGTGTCTAACATGATTGTGTGTGTGTGTGTGTGTGTGTGTGTGTGTGTGTGTGTGTGTGAACACTGGAGAGTTTGTGTGTGTTGGTAATTACCCCACACCAATAAAACAGGTAATCTACAGACTTTATGAAAGGAGAGGAGCAGCCTAATGAAGTGCTGTGTCGAACACCCACCACTTTAAACCAGACGACTGTTGGAGTCTCTTTGCATTCATGACGTATTTGTATAAGACAGGGGTGCCCAATCCTGGTCCTCGAGAGCCCCTATCCAGCATGTTTTAGATGTTTCCCTCTTCCAACACACCTGATTCACATGATCAGGATCGTTATCAGGCTTCTGCAGAGCTTGATGATGAGTTGATCATTTGAATCAGGTGTGCTGGAAGAGGGAAACATCTAAAATATGCTGGATAGGGGCTCTCAAGGACCAGGATTGGGCACCCCTGGTGTAAGAGATACACTTTCTAATCTTTTGTGTATTTTCTGATGACTTGGTTAGCATAACTATCATTCATATCAACAATGGTGACATTTAGAAACAGCATTTACTGTGTCTGTCACATCATTAAAGCACAAATATATCCCTACTCTCACTAAAATGCCAAAACAGTATAAAAAACTAGAAAATTTCCTTGCAGAAAATTTGAGAGTGGCACGGGAGTGTGCCGGGATTTAAATGAAGATTTTATAACTAGAAAATTTCCTTGCAGAAAATTTGAGAGTGGCACGGGAGTGTGCCGGGATTTAAATGATGATTTTATAATTATCAAACCTAGTAAAAACTTTGAATAACCTAAGCCTCAGCTGTGTGGAGAGAACAGGGGAGGAGGGGGGGTTGGGAGCAGGGTCAGAGCGTTGCCGGGCAGCGAAACACACAGCTGCGACAGATACTTTGTTTAACTGTCAAATCAGTAGAAGAAACCAGAAGGAGAAGACCTCAAACAACCGCCATTTTTGTCAAAACCGTGTGTCAGAGAGAAAAGCCGAGCACATTTTCAGAAAGCCAAGACCTTGGACATTACAGAGATGTATTTTCCTAGAGTAAAAAATGAGCGCACAATCATTTGAGAAGAAAGGTGTAAATATCCAGTCCTTGAGAAAACTCAGCAGCCGTCTTTGAATGGGTGCAGATGGGGAAGG